AAATCTGAGAGAAAACAAAATCATTAAACAAATAATAATCCAACACAAGGAATATTAGAATAGTAAACTAAAAATTCAATGAAAATCCCTTGCTGGGGGTGGGCTACCTCCCTTTAAGTTGTTGGTCAGCCAAGGCCCTCAACCCCCAAACAATACAGGCTACTGCCACAGCTATCGGTTGCCCACAAGAATGGAGGAAATAAGACTTCATCACTGAAGACACAGCATGTTTTGATCACAGGACAGAGAAATCCAGATGGAACTAAGCTGGAAGCTTCCTCCTCGTTGGCTGCTTTCACTGTATCAGAGAGAAAACCTCAATGGTCTTTCCAGCCCCAAACCCTCCATGCTACAATACTGACCTGTAGGGCACTGGTACAATAAACAGTGGCATGGTATTATGGGGACAACAACTGCTCTCTATGTGGTTCTCAGGCCCCCTCCACAACAGTGAATTCAAGAATGGCAGTGTGAATCTGATCAAAAGCCTGTGGCTAGAACCGTCACAGGCACAGGTGGAAAGGCTATGGCTGTTCTTCTGTTAACCCTAGTGTGCCCGTCAAATTGCCTTCTAAATGTGTGTGTATCCACAGATTGGCGCTGATGTCAGCTTTAGCAGAGAGACTTTTCTCACGGCGAGCAGTGGTTACTGTAAAGACTAGTCAGGGTATTGAGAGAATGAAACTTCTGACTGCTCAGTCGTAATGAATGGGACATCTCCACCACCCCAACAAATCTCAGGGAACATCACAGAAGAGGACGTAGAATGAGTCTAAGAGCCAGAGAACGGGGCAGTCTTGTGGAACACTGTATTCTGGCCATGAACTCATAAAAACTTGCACAGATCTGCCCCAGATCTGGCCCGGCAGTGTTCTGTCGTGGAAGAGGAAGGGCACTTGGGGTCCCACTCCGCCATGAGGATCTATAGGCAGCTAGTGGTTGCTGGGGGAGAGGGAGACGTCAACATGTAGCCACTGGTCAGTTACCCATGCTCCTGTAAGAAAATTTAACTAAACTCACTGGGTCATTTAAAAAAAGACATGAACGTGGAAAGGGAACTAGTTGAAAAAAGGAATAGGGTCAGTGAGAGGGGGACGAAGAGAGGGTCATGGGGGAGTGATTGTGACCAAAACACATTGTTGGGCATGGTGACACATGCCTTCAATCCCAGTACTAGGAGGCAGAGGCATACACCAAGTTCCAGGACAGCCAAGGCTGCATGCTGAGACCTTGGCTCAAAATATAAATTTTAAAACTACATATATCTACAAAAATGTCCTATTTAAAACAGTACTATGTATAGTTAATATATTAATAAAGAACACTATTATAACCTTTATTTGATACCCTAAACCTGACTAGCTTAGCTTGCCCAATGATTTCCCAGATAGTAAGAGCACATACATGCGTAAAATAGCCATACAATAACATTTGCCTTATTCAAACAGTACAACCCACACGCCCCAGGCAGACTTACCATGGTAACAAGATGCTGCTGGAAAAAGCAAGCATGAGGAAGCTGGTAGTGCACGCCAGCCTTTGAACCCTAGCACTTGGGGCGCAGAGGCAAGTATGTCTCTGCTCGTTCAACCAGACAGCCGGCTCTTCGGTCAGTTTCAGGCCAGCCAGGGCTGGCAAGGTGAGGCTTGCCCCAACCCCCACCTCACCCCCAAAAAAACAGCAACAACAAAAAAGACCAAAAGAGCCATGATGCAGGAGAGCCTGTGGACAACCTAACTCAAACTCCAGAGTGTGAAGAGATCAAGAAGGGCAGGTCCCTGCAGATGTTCCGGAGCTCTGCATCTTATTTCAGGTTAAGAGATCCCCCACATGCTGCCTCGCTTGTGCTTAACATCAAGGACGGGCCTTGCTGGGAGACACTAGGTCTCCTGACAGACACACTAAGAAGCACAGGGTCAATAACAACAACAAGTTTTTCCGGCCCCTCTGCCGTCACGCCTCCCCGAACCCGGGAACTAACTAATCATCTCCTATCTACCTCCATAATTCTGTCTAACCCGGAAGTTTCACAGAAATGGGTCATATAAAAGCTAGACAGCAGAGAGTATGTTTCCTAGTCAGTTCAAGACGAGTTCTTCTATGCCCTGAAACACAAGCAGTGGAGTGTTACCATCCAGTTGTGACTGGCAACCAAGGACAAAGACAATAACCTGTGCTGTCTGGAAAACCTCCAGAACCTCCCTGACCACTAACTCGTAGGGCTACGATGCTGAGCACTGAGATTTTCATTTATTAATCATGTCTTCTGAGAACAGCACAGCCCACCCATTCAGGGTTCCTCCCATCCAAACTCCTTTTTTAAAAAACTTCATTTTGTACTTAGCTTAGAAGATGTTATGCAGACCACTGGGGGCAGGGTACCACGGATGGTCCTACCCAGCTAGACCCTGATAGGCATGGTGTGCCCACTACAGCAGTTAGTAGAATGACTGTTATAAACGATAATCAATTACTTCTGCTTAGATCTGAGGCCAGTTCCACAGGAGTGAATCCATGACCAGGACTGTAAAGCTGGTCAAAAGGCCATGGCTAAGGAAGGTCACTGACCCTCGGAGGGAACATACTATTGTTATTATGCTAAGTGGACATGTTATCAGACCACCTGCTAAATATTTGTGTTCATCCCCAGGGATCTGTGTGACTATGCACGTCAGTCAGAGACACTTCTTTCGGCAGGGACTGTTAATATAGACTCACAACTCATCAGTGTAAGAACAGGTGACCTGAGTGTGTGGACCCCAAAGGGACACCAAAGACTTGGGAGCAGCCTGGAAAAGGGGTGAGAGAATCTAAGAGCTGGAGGATGGAGAGAGGAGCTGTGAAATGCTGGGTTCTAGATATGACAGGCTGTTGCTCTCATGAATTCACAACAGCTGTGGTGACCTAAATAAGACCCGTATGTCTCTGTGAATATTATTCACAACTTTTTGAAAAGACTACTTTCTTCACTGAAACTAATTTTGTTGTTCTTGTTTTTAAGAAAAAGTCTCAATACATAGCCCTGACTGGTCAGAAATCCATTACGTGGTCAGGCTGGCCTTGAACTCACAGAGATCCACCTGCCTCTGTCACCAGAGTGCTGGGATTAAAGGTGTGTGCCACCACACTGAACAGAAAGTGGAATGTTCGAAAATATATTTTTCTAAACCTCATCAAATTTAGTGAGTAGCAGAATATGTGTCACTAAAGATACAAGGCCTGGAGAGCACACAGAACCCTGAAAACACAAATCAGAGCAAGCTCTCTGGTTTAGTCAAGTTTAGTTTACACATATTAAGTTGGGCCTAGTAAGACATGCTAACAGAAATTTCCAAAGAAGGTTACAAATTCAAGAATCAAATTTAAAGACAGGAACCGCATCAAAGACATTTATTTAAGAGGTACATATTTTACCCAGATATACTGGTACACACCTGTAATGCCAGGGCTCCTACTCAAGACTGAGGCAGAGAGCTTGCAAGTTTAAACTGAGGTGAGGGACTTAGTAAGATGCTGACCCAAAATTTTGGTTTTTGGGTTTCTTTTGGCTTGGGAGGGGTGTGTTTATATTTGAGACAGGGCCTCACTGTGTAGCCCTAATTGGCCTGAAACCCGCTTTGTAGACCAGACTGTCCCTGAACTCACAGAGATCCATCTGCCTCTGCAAATTTTTTTTAAAAGGCTAGGCATAATGATACACGTGACCTTTAATCCCAGCCCTAAGAAGACAGAGGCAGGTGGATCTCTATGAGTCCAATTCCTGCCTGCTTTACATAGCAAGTTCCAATACAGCCAGAGCTACAGAATAAGGCCCTGTCTCAAAATCTACATAGAAATTAAAAAGGAACAGGGCTGGGGATGTAATTCAGTGGCAGGGCAGTTGCCTAGCACATACAAGACTCTGCGCTCAATCGCCAATATATGCCATCAAAAAAGAAAAGAATGAACTCTTTCAAGATGCTAGGACAAATCTACAGTAAATAAACACGGTGGGGTGACCCACAAGCAAACGCTGTGCAGTGTCCACCTGAATGAATGGGGAAGAACTGAAGCTAGATAAGCATTTGAAGGATTAGGACCTTACAGTAACTTAGCACCTGTTAGCACAACTTCTGAAACTAACTTTAAGTAACAGTAACCACAATAAAATACACATCTGCAGAGACATATGGATCTGCCTCTATCCCTGTATTATTCCAGCCTCGCAAAATTAAACATTCACTTTTAAAAAGCATCCAGGCTGGAGGTGCAGCTCAGAAACAGAGCATGTACATAGTATGCATAAGATTCTGAATCAACGTCCAAAATAAGGAAGGACCTACTTTAACCTCTTTAACCTACTCCAACCTATCTTAACACCACAAAAAAGGAAAAAGCAAGAGGAAGAGGAGAGAAAGGAAGGGGGTAAGAGGGAGGGAGGGAGGGAAAGTCTCTAGATTTAAATCATTATTAACTGATAGGTGGTTGTCATAATCCAAGTCAACACAAGGGAAAACGTGTCCTTTTCTCTCTCACATATTATCCCCAATACGGAAACACGAGGAATGGAACGTGACTCCCCTTGTAAACTAGGGTATTATTCTAGACTGCAAGAGATGCTAGACTTGTGGGGAAGGTGGGTAAAATAAGACATGATCCTTGCCCTAATATTTAGATCATATCCCCTGCCACAATGAGTTTAGTCAGTCTAGGATTTGGGGAGCAAATATGAGATAGTTTTAAAGGATTCAGTAAAGATACCAACAATTTAAATATGTCTGGAACTTTCATTAACTATATAGTGAGTTCCAGGATAGGCTGATCATATTATATGGCAAAACACTATCCAAAAAAAATAGCATTATTGTTGTTGTTGACATTGGGTTTTGGTATGTATGTCTACTTGTTACTGAGCTGGGGTTGTAGCTTAGTTAGGAGATCGCTGCCTAGGTGTGAGACACTAGATTCCATCTCCAACAGCTGGTGGGGGCTGATTTTGTTTGGTATGGCAGCTCACACTTAGAACCCCAGTATTTGGGAGGGTGAAGCGTCAACAGCGTAGACTATACTGTGAGACCCTATCTCAAAAATATCATACCCAAAAAATATTAAAAGTACAGGAGGCAGCAGCCTGCAGAAAATGACTCCAGCAAGAGAAAAGGACTAGGGACAGACCCACAGGAAGAAATAAGATACAGTCGGGGGCAGAGCGGTACCCGTGTAAGAGCTGTAGTACACAAAGGGAAAGACGAAGTTTCCGTTAATCCACCCAGAAGGGTCTCACAGTCTTTTTCTCCTTACCAGATGGTAGTCACATGAACTGACTATAGGTACATCCTTATTTTGACAAATCACTCCAAATTTTGCTAAAAAGCATATGCTATGTTGCTTGGGGGAACAGGACACAAACTTGGGAGTGAATAAATCCAGGAAAGCAGGATTTATTCTTACAAATACACCAGGAGCAGTGACGGCAGGCATGCATGGAGGAGCTTTGGCTACGCGGAATTGTTACTACACGTGCTCAACACTTCTGTCTACTACTCAGGAGGCACATCACAGCACATTTGGAAGGATGTTAAAGGTGTGGAGAGCTGTCAAGAGGACTCAGCCAATAAAGGTTAGGCTCACAACCAAACGACAGTGTGGAATTTGCTTAAGTCTGTAATAGTTAAGCCAAGCTTTTCTGAAACCACATTGGGGGGGGGGGGTGTCCTGAAAGCATCCTTGCGTGTTTGCCTTATCTAAACCTATCTGCCCCCTTCCCAGATCATCCTGCGGTAGGAGATTCAAAAGATCTTCTGAATGGGAGCATGTTAGCAGAAAGTTTACAGAAAAAAAAGAAAAAGAAAAAAAAAAGACAGGGGATCATTTTTGCTTATCAACATGAGAAGCCATCTTCCACATAAAATTCAGCTTCTCGGGATAACTGGTTTTCTATAAAGCCTTACACTGTGAAAGGAGAGAGAACTAACTACAAGTTTTGTCCTCTGACCCTGACCTCCACATGCACGTCGTGGCCTGCGCTCCGGCCCCCATCACACACACACACACACACACACACACACACACCTCATCAAGCAATCACACTGAGAAAACAACACAGCAGATTTCATAGAGATATGGAGAAGATTAAGTCTGACTTGCAAAGCGTGACAACATTAACCAGTCCCCGAGGTGCGAGCACTCAGCGCAGCCGCGGCGCGCTGCCTGCGGGAAGGCCCAGGAGCCAGCTGTCCCCGGGGCGTAGCGGGTAGCGGGTGCCTCGGAAAGCGTCGACGCGTTGTCAGGCAACCGGCTCCCAACCACCCGGGCGGCCACCCGGGAGTCGGCGGCGGCGCGTGTGCAGGGCACCGCCCCCGGCCTGGCAGCCGA